TTTTTTTTTTTTTTTTTTTTTTTTTTTGTATCTAGTCTCAACCATGGACCAGATACATATAGGGGGTCCGGCGTTTTGGGAACGCCGGACCCCCAGGAGCAAAAAATTCCGACTGGATTTTGGCAAAAAAAGTCAGTTTTGATTTCGTTCAAAAATAATAATATGTCCGTTTTGACGAAATGGCTGTTAAGGGGAAATGATTGCGTAGACGACCGGACCTGGACATGAATGAAAGTCATAATTCGAGCGAAACAGCAGAGAGAGAAGATTTTGAAACTAATTACCCCACCTAATTTCACCAGCAAGAATAAGCAAGATGACTTGGACCACCGGTGGTCTACGCTGTGGAGATGAGGTGGTCCAAATTTCAGACCGAACGGTCCAGCGGATCACGAGATATCGAAGTTTAGGGCGCGCCATGGAATTCGAGCGTGTGGACCCTTCTCCTTTCGACATCCTTTCTTTCCCTTTCTGCACGTGTTTGCTGATTAAGGCACCACAAGGAGAGCGGCTGGAGATGACGGCATAGGATGCATGGTCTCCTCTGTCTACTTTCATCTGCCCTGCGAAGCGGTGGACTCGAGTCTCTGCGGTAAGCTTGAACTTCCTGGGGTAGCTCGTTGGCAGGCTCAACGAAATGTTGCCCCACCATCCCGATGTTGGAGAAGTTGAGGGGGATGGCCGATTGGTACCTTCGTTTGCCTGTGTTGGTGTTATGGCAGGCCCTTGAGGCCGGTAGGGCAGGTACATGGAGGGAGTTTTGTTCTTCCCTCCCGAAGGTGAAGGGGTTGGGTTTGAGTGAGGGTGGATGAAGAGGAGACAAAGGGTTTTTTCTTCTTACGGGATTTTTTACGAAGTCACACGGCTGCAAGAAAGGAAGGAGGGCAGCTTCCCCCTGCTCATAACCATGATTTCCTAATTCACGTGTACTAATGATTGATTCTATAAGGGGGGATAATCAGAAGATCTCAGTTCACGATTTTTTTATTCGATTTCTTTCTATGGTTCATTGGGTGCTCTTCTGAATTTCTCAGTTTATGATTTCCTGATTCGTCTTCTTTCTGCCGATCAATTGGAATTTTCCTGATGATCGACATGATCGGTTTAGACTTCAAACCTCGTATTGGAATTCTTATAAAAGCTTATAAAAAAACTTCTGATTCTCGATTTTTTTTCCTATAAAAGCTTTTAAAAATATTATCGAGATAATCTCCTATAGA